TAAATATATTTAATCAAAAACATTAAAACCGTCTTCCATTACAAATTATAGAAAGTGTTTCTTGGTTACAAAATTTCTATGCATCCCTCCATAGTCATCACTTACAGTTCATATCAAATCACATATTTTTAAATTAAATATATTTATATATATTACTATTATTGCACCTCAACCTTCATTTGACTATGATTGCTTTTATATCCTTTTACATGACATATTCTACATTTTAAGAATATTTATGCTAGTGGGATATGTAACCCAGAGATGGGATTCAGCCGGTTCTGACAGGTTCTGCCCCTGCCTCCCTGCCTCCCTGCCTCCCAGCTGATCTTCTTTTGTTGCCCTGATCAGGAGAACAGAGCTGGAAAGCAGGTTAGAAGGGTGGGGAGGGAATGGAGATTTTGCAGTATCTTTCCCCTGCCCACCCACAAAGCCACGTCCACCGAACAGGTAGTAAAAAAAAATTTGAATCCCACCACTGGTGAAAACACATTTTATGTAATTTATACTGTGTATAAATTTGCCATGTATGAAAAGCCAATTGTGGATTTTCTAATAAACCATGGTCAAAAGCAATTGTGTCTTGGCCTGATGGTAGAAATTGTCAAAAGAGGAGAAGAAGCGCTTTTAATTACTTTTGATTAACAGTCCTGCGGTGAAGGTCCTCCTGAGGGAAGAGTTGTTTTGTGATGTGTTTCCTGCCCTCGTTTTGCATTTCCTGGGCTGCTGGATCTGTAACTTTGCCCTTGGAGATGGACACAACAAAGTTCTCAAAGTTGGAAGAGGCCTTCATAGGTGTGATAGATTCATGAGATGCTGACAAACATGGATTTTGCATGTCCCAAACATGCTTTTTTTTTAAAAAAAAGAAAAGGCAACTGGATCTGGGGTTTTTTCTTTGAAAATGTTTCTCTTCTCATCCGAGAAGCATCTTCAGATGCTTGAGAAGATGCTGGAAATAGAGACCCCAGTCCAGTTGCCTTTTCAAAATAAAAACCACTTTCGATACACCTATGGCCTGGATCACTGAGAACCTTCATAAAAGTTTGAAATATAGAAGTTCTGTGTTGCATAACCTCTTGTACTTCAAGAGAGGATAACAATCTCAATGGGTCCATCTCACCTGAGACTCATTTGGGAAGGTGCCTGACGATCAAGATCAGTGGATGGGTAAGAACGTAATCCCGGAATAACTTTCTTCTGATTCCTCTCTTCTCTTCTTAGAAACTCAGTCTCCAACAATAACAATAATGGATACCATGACAGCAGGAATGTCTACAATTATCACCTGTGCAACCTTAGGAGGCTGTAGTCGGATGCCTCCAAATATCACCTGGGTTGGCTTTCCCAAGCCCATCAAACCTCATGTGCACTTGAATGAGACCCATTACACCTCAGTGGTGGATTTCTCACCTTCTCCTGAAGACAACAATAGGAATATCACCTGCATGGTCAATTACATAAATGAGACTAAACCTGTTCCCAGACAGGATACCGTCCAACTAAAAGTCATGTGTGAGTGATCTTTTCTAAGTCTGCAGGGGTTCAAGCCCTGAATCCCAAGGCAGTTTCAATTCACTTCTGGTTTGAAGAATGGAGCTAAATCATTGGTCCTTTGAATCAGAGAGCAAAGCGGCACAGTTTGCCGAGGTGGTGTAGTGGTTAAATGCAGCACTGCAGGCTACTTCAGCTGACTGCAGTTCTGCAGTTCGGCTGTTCAAATCTCACCGGCTCAGGGTNTATTTGTCTGAGTAGAGATGAAACACTTAGAATAGAGTTGGAAGGGACCTTGGAGGTCTTCTAGTCCAACCCCCTGCCTAGACAGGAAGCCCTACACCACTTCAGACAAATGGTTATCCAATCTCTTCTTAAAAACTTCCAGTGTTGGAGAATTCACAACATCTGGAGGCTCGTCGTACCACTGATTAATTCTTCTCACTGTCAGGAAATTCCTCCTTTGTTCTAAGTTGCTTCTCTCCTTGATTAGTTTCCACCCATTGCTTTTTGTCCTGCCATCAGGAGCACTGGAGAATAGCTTGAGTCCCTCTTCTTTTGTTAACAAGTTGTTACAACTAGTTGCAGCTAGATTGTCACTAGTTGTTACAAGCAAGGATAGATTTTGTTTTTGAGTATCCATCATCTGGCTTCAATATTCTCCCAAGGAAAAAACTCATTCTCACAGTTTCTGTATCTAGGTTTGGCTCCTTGGGCTTCTGACTGCAACCTTCCCAAGAGGCTGAAGTTTCAGGGATGAGAACATGGCTTGTCCCCTTGAGGCCTTCTTCCTTGGGCTAATCTCAACACAGTTGCTTTGGAAAGGTAAGAGCTGATGGGAAGTGGAGAGGCCGACTCTTTGAGCGCAGCCTTGAATTACTTCTCCTCTCCTATGGTGGAAGTGGGACAGGGGGTCCGTTAACTGGGTAGCTGAGCTTCTTGTTTTCCATTCTTTGCAGGTGTGATGCCTGCAGAAAGGTATAGCGTGAATATTTCTGTATCCCATGTGGTGGTAGAGGAAGGGCTCTGTGCCACGGTTCCCTGCACTTTCACTTATGAAGAAAGTGATGCCGACCCAAAGGAAACATTGAGGGGATGTTGGAAGAAAATAGGAACAGGCAGATATTGTCCAGCAGATGACAGTCGTACCTTCAAAATCATTGGGAATCTAACAGCAGGAAACTGTTCTCTCCTCATCTGGAACCCCCAAAAAGATGACATGGGGTCATACTATTTCAGAATGGAAAAAAACCCTAGGGCACATTATGGCTTTGACAAAGTTACCATATCCCTGGAGGTGACGGGTAAGTACCTGGAAAAATGTTCGTTGGAAGCTCCAGTTTTCACCAGCCATTGTAAAATGTTATTATTAACACCCCCCTCCCTCTGTTATTTTTTGTTGTTGTCGTTCTGGTTTTAGTTCTGTTTTGATAATGCTTTTAAAATAGTTATATGATGGGATGAAGTAGTAATTCTTTTATATGGTGATTGAATTCTTGGATTGCTGTATGCTGTCCAGAGTTACTATCTGGCCATCTAAATTTGATTAATACACAAATAAATAGGGTTGGGTTGAGGCTGCAGATAACAACGGTGGCATGCAGGAGTAAAGCCACTGCCAGATGCAAACCCCTCCCTTTGTCTTTCTTCCTCCCTCTTTCACTCATAGACATCAACCCAGAGATAAGGTTTCAAGCAATACTTTATTTTATTAATTATTTTATTATTTTATTTTATTTATTATTTTATTATTATTTTATTATTATTATTTTATTTTGTTATTTTGTTATTTTGTTATTTTATTATTTTATTATTTTATTATTTTATTATTTTATTATTTTATTATTTTATTATTTTATTATTTTATTATTTTATTATTTTATTATTT